AACATCAGCTGTTTCTGTCCACCCCCCCCCCCCCATCTTTACCTAAACATGCTTTACCAAGTTTCCTCCTCCCAGTTCTTGGCTTATCTCACACGAGTAATATAATATATTCCAACAGATACATGGAGATATATAATATATATGAAGAAATATAATAATATATATTTGTATTCCTACAATAAGGTATAACATACTATTTCCCCTTCCCCTTTTAGCTATTTTTTAAAAAATAGGTACATTTTACCAAAGCCATATTTCAATCGTGGCCTTCTTTCACCAAGTCTCCATGAGTACGTATTTGCCTCCTTGCATTAGAACCTCTCACTAACTTTGATTGTCACCCACATTTTATTCATTTGTGTGTTGATTTCTGACATATTGGGTATTATTGATGGTCCCTTTCTTGAATTTTGTTTCCTATGACTTTCTGGACTTCTCTACTATTATTCTTGTTTTAAAAAAATTGTTTTCCTGATGACTCTTGTCTACATCTAACAGTCATTTTGACCTTTCCAGATTGAACCCCCTCTTTTAACAAATTTAGCAGAACATATAATATAGTGAAAGTGTCTTATAGTGTATGTCATATTATGTCCTAGTACTTCCCCACTTTTGTGCCATGAATGAGGGAGATATGTTTCTTTATCTGTTCTTTGGATCCTTCATGGATTTTTGGCTACTCAAAAATTTTACTTCATTTTAACGATCATTCTCTATGCATTTTTGTAGTCATTATATATCTTACTCTCTCAGCTGTGAATGCTTTGTTATAAGTTGGACTTTCGTTTCTGTCTTTGACTTCCTTGGGGTAAATGCTTAGGAGTGATATTGGTGGTTTAAAGGGTATGGCAGTTTAGTAATTTTTCTTTCATAATTATGAATTAATATATAGAAACTGGACCACCTTAGAACTCCATTGATAGTGCATTGGTGTGCCTGTCTTTCCAAAGCCATTGACCCTTTCAACCTTTTGTCATCTTTGCCAATTTTCATAGAGTAAGATGAAATTTCAGACTTGTTTTATTTTGCATTTCTCTTTAGTGAGCATATTTTCATGTGGTTACTTCTAGTTTACAGTTCTTTTGAAAATTGATCATATCCTTCGGCCACTGCTCTATTAGAATCCATGGGTAGTCTTCTTTCTACATCGTGGCTGCTCTCTAATGGTCTTTAGCTTGGTAAATACACTTAGGCAGTTTTATCCTCTTCTTTCCTTTTCAGTGTAAAGCCTTTTTGATTAGATTTCTAAGATTCCATGTCAGTATTTACCATTCCTTGTTAGGTGCCCTCCATCCCTGGCCAGGAAGCTGTCACACTTACGACAAGCTGTGGTCCAGAAATTAAAATCCAAACTTCAGATGCAATTTTCTTAACCACGTGCTCACTTCTCAAATATGCCTTTCTTTTCTGATGCCCTCACCTTTAGTTAGTTCTGTAGTGAAAAAAACACCACATAAGCTCCTAAGGTCTTCAGGTGATGCCCTAGAATTTGTTGCTCAATACTTTTTTGTCTTTAGCAATATGTACCAGGTTCCTTCATTTATGTATGTATCATTTGTGCCTACATGAATCACCAGAATTGGCTGGTAGTCATCTGGCTTGGCAAATCTCAAGAATTTCTCCGTCGCTTCTTGAATATATGCCCCATGGAGAGAGCAAACCTCTCTACTACTGTTGTTATCACAACAACACACTACTGCCTTAGTATCCCTCAGGAGGGAAGCTTCAAACACTTCTACTCATTTCATCTTTCTCTGACATATAGTGGATGTGACAGCACCTGTGAATATATGTCACAATTCACTTGGACAACAAACAGGTGCTTTCTCTTCAGTGCATACAGCTCCCTCCTTTTCAAGAAGAGCCTTACATTTATTTCTTAGGTCTACGTGTTCAGTAGTCCTTCTTCCCTTTCTCTTTAATGGGTCCACTCCAGAAACAGGTCAGGATCCCCCCTTCCTCTTCCGATATTTTTTCTCCATGTCCACATTGACACCTCTTCCTCTTTAAATAATCTTATCTTTCTCTTAATTCCTATTTCTTATT